TATCTATTTTATTTTATTTTATCTTATTTTATTTTATTCTATTTTGTAAGTGAGGTCTAGGCCCAGCACGGGGCTTGAGCTCACAACCCCGAGATCAAGAGTGGCATGTTCCACTGACTGAGCTGGCTAGGCGCCCCAACCATCACCCATTCTCAAGTCTACATACAATTTAATGGTATTTAGTACATTCACAAGGTCGTGCAACCGTCACCACTCTCTAGTTCCAGAACATTCCCTCGTCCCAGAAACACCCGTCCCCATTAGCCGCCCCCCCGCTCCTCCCCCGGTTGCTGGCACCCGCCAACCACCTTTCTGTCTCTGGACTTGCCCGTCCTGGACGTCGCGCACGCACACTGCGCATGTGCGCAGGAGTCGTGCTGCCGCGTGCTGTCGGTGCAGACGCCCCCCAGCACCCAGACACCCCCTGGAACGAGGCTCCTGGCCCGGGGCTGGCCGCTGCTCCCCCTCGCTTGGCAGAGGCTGGGAGCTCTGCAGGCTGTTTCTACCTCTGCTGTCCCTCAGCATCGCCTCTTGGAGACTCTGAAGCCTCTTTCTGTGGCGAAGGCGGCCCAGGCAGGAGTTAGCGCACTTTTCCTGGAAAGGGTCAGATGGTCAGTGCGTTGGGTTTCATGGGCCAGATGGTTTCCTCCCCATCTGCCTGCAGGCCCTGTGCTGGGCTTTGGGGCTGCAGTAGTGAGCAACAGCATCCCCATCCTGGTCACCATCCTGGTCCTCCTGGGCTCCTGCTCTAGTGGAACAGAAAGCGAGAACAAACAGCAGATGGTTAGACCAACAGCATGACTGAGCCTGGAGGGATCAACCAGGAAACAACTTGCTTAGTGTCAGGGAAGGCGGCTCTGAGGAGGTGATGCTGAGCCTGAAGATAAGGAAGGAACCAGTCTGCGCATCGATGGGAAAGGGAGCAGCAAGGAGACAGCAGGTGCAAAGGCCCCGAGGCAGCAAGGCTGGACATGGTCGAGCACAGGGGACAGGGCTCCAGCCCAGTGGGGGCAAGAGATGCGAGTGAAGCACTTGCTGGAGGAAGGGCTTGGGTTCACCTGTCCCCCGACCCAGGCTCTCCTGGGCTGGGGCTTGGGGCCTGCCTGCTAACCGCTCGTTCTCTCTTCCCTTAGTACATGGGCTGCATTGAAGTCCTCCGCTCCATGCGCTCTCTGGATTTTAACACCCGCACCCAGGTGACCAGGTGAGCCTTTGAGACCGGCTGCTGTGGGGCTGGGGGTTCGGAGCAGCTGGGGGAGGGCTGATGGGAGGCTTCGGAGAGGCGGCTCAGACAGTTTGCCCCGGGAACCCAGGATGGCAGGCACAGTGACATTCCCTCCTGCCGCACAGCTTGGGGAACAGTGTGGCGTGGACTTAGGAGGGCCTTGGGGTGGGGCACATGATGTCTGAGTCCCAGCTCTGTCCCGCCCTCCAGGTGCCCTTGCTCCTCAGACCCTGGATTCTCTCTGTCAGGTAGAGATGACACCTGGTCCCTCCCAGTGTGTGGGTCCCACAGGGGTGCTGGGAGATGCCTCAGCAGGTCGTGGGACCTGCGGGTGCTGGCTGGTTCCCGGTTAGGACTCAGGTCAGGGCTGGAAGGGGCTGGGAGCCTGTCCAGGGCGGGGATAGCATTTCTGTTGTCCGTGCTTTTTTTGGTGCAGAGAAAGCACATTGATCTCATGATGCTCTGAGCTGCCAGGAGCAGAGTCATGAAGAGTCATGGCTACAACCAGGGCTGAGACAGAAAGGATTGACATCTTTTTGCATGTGAAAACTGAATTAGTCCTTTCACCGTAGACACAGAAACACTCTACTGAGATGTAATTCACACATCAAACAATTCACCCACTTAAAGTGCACAATTCGATGTGTTCTGGTTTCCTCACAGAGCTGTGCAACCACTCCCTCCCTAATTCCAGAACATTCCATCAGCCCAAAAGGAAACCCTGTCCCCATCTGTCACCCCCTATTCTCCCCAGCCCCCGGCCCCCACGAGCCCCCTTCCTGTCTGTGGATGAGCCTGTTCTGGACGTGTTCCCCACGTGGACTCACACCCCGTGTGGCCTTCCGTGTCTGGTGCCCTCCCTGAGCGTTGTGGGCTCGGGGTCCGTCCCCGGAGCAGCGCGTGTGGGCGCCTGGCTCCTGTCCGCGGCCGAGGGACGCTCCCACGCGTGGGGGACCGTGTGTGTATCTGTTCACCGGTCAGTGGACCCTTGGGTGGCTTCCACCTGTTGGTGATTATCATGATGTGTGCTGCTATGAACAGGTCTTGTGTGGGTGTGTGTTTTCATTTCTCCTGTGCATGTTACCCGGATGTGGGAAGGGGATGCTGGGCTGTGCGGTGACCCCATGTCTTACTGTTTGAAGGGCTACTGGACCGTTTCCAGGTGGCAGCACCGTTTTACCTTCCTGCCGGTTGGATGTGAGGGTCTAGTTTCTTCTCGTGGCACCAGCATTTTTGGGGGTCTGGTGTGGTCTGACCTTTAGGGTCCTGTGAGGTTCTGGTCCCCCCCCTGGGGGATTAGCAGTTTCACAGTGGTCTGTTCCTTACTGTCTGGGGGAGCCCAGAGCAAAGATCACTCTCTCATGCCACAGATGGGGATCTTGACTGGCCTGTGACCACATGGAACTTGGGGTCTGGGCTCAGGAGCTATGCTGGTCCCCCTGGATCCGACCCCTATGGTTTTGAGTTGGGCTGTGGCCCAGGGATGCGTTGGTCACTGAGAAGGAGGTGCCAGAGGGCGAGAGCCAAGCGCGGTGTGTGTGGGGATGTCTGCAGGTACAAATGGGGTGGGGGCTGCTAGCCCCTGGTCCATGGCTCTGTTCCTTCTGCCTCTTTCCAGGCACCCTAGCTTCTGTCCCTCCTGTGAGCCCCACACTCTCTGAGCTCCTGCCTCCTCCCCACACCCCCCTCCCCACCTCCAAGCTCACTAAGCCCCTCCTCCCTCCCCCCACACAGGGAAGCCATCAACCGGCTTCATGAGGCGGTGCCTGGTGTCCGGGGCTCCTGGAAGAAGAAGGTGGGTGAGGGGCTTGTGGTCCCTGAGTGGTGCTGGTGGGTGTGGCTGGAGCAGTGGGGGCGCTGTGGCCGTCCTTGGACCCTGCCCCAGCCAGAGCCCTTCTGCAGCCCCACCTTCCCCAGTGCCCAGGCTCCCCAGCCTGCAGGCCCGGCACTGCCCTCTGCCCCGTCCCCAGGCCCCCAACAAAGCGCTGGCCTCCATCCTGGGCAAGAGCAACCTGCGCTTTGCGGGCATGAGCATCGCTGTGAGCATCTCCACCGATGGCCTCAACCTCTCTGTGCCTGCCACACGCCAGGTGAGTGCCAGCACCTGCATCCCCAGCCCTGCGCAGGGCAGGTCCGGGGACTTGTGGGTGGAGCTGGAGGGATGGTGGGTGCAGGGCTGTGTGTGGACACATTTACCTGGAGATGTGCTGAGACCCCCCCGCCACCGAGCCAGGAGCTGAGCTGCCCTCGTGGCAGCCACAGTCCGCATGAGGCGCTGGGGCCAGGGACGCGGCCAAGCCCCCACCATGCCCACGACGCCCCTGCAGAGAGTGACCCAGACCCAGTGTCAGCAGTGCCCGGGGGAGGGCCCTGGCTTGGAATCTTCTGGTGGAAACAAACCAGCGAAATAAGGGAATAATTACAAATTCCAAAAAGGACCGTCAGGCCAGCAAGGGATGTTGTAGGCATACAGCAGGCACTGTGACCTAGCAGGGGCATCACGGAGGGCTTCCTGGAGGTGGTGACACTAGGGAGGAGGTAAGCAGAGGACATCCCAGGCAGAGGTCCCCCTGTGGGGGGACAGAGCCGGACAAGTCACAGCTCTAGGATTTGTCCAGAGAGCATTGTGACCCCGGGAAGTGCCGTGACCTGTGGCTGTGGGGCACAAGGAGGGAGGGAGCCCAAGCCAGCGCATGTGTGGAGAGCCTGGGGAGGAGGAGAGGAACGTGAGCACTCAGGACAGCAGCGGATGGTGGCAAACGAGCACACAGATGAACATGGAAACGAGTGTGCAAATGTGCACACAAGACAGCATGCAGAGACGGGGACGCGTGCACAAGTGAGCGTGCGAGTGAGCACACGGTGCCGGTGTGGGGACCGGAGCCTCGGGGGGTCCCGCCTGTGTCTCTCCCTGCCTGCAGGGCTGCACTGGGTGTGCAGATGAGCATGCCGCACCTAGGTGTCTGTGTGAGTGGGTGTGGGTCAGGGTGCGAAGAGGTCCGAGCGTGTCTGAGTGTGTGGCTCTGGTCCGTGTGTGAGCAACTGCGTGTGTCTGTACATCTGATATCCGGGGTGTTCATGTGCTCGTGTGAGGGTGGGTGTGGCCTCTGCATCCTGCCCTGGGGGCGCCCCAGCCAGCTGCGTTCCTGGTGCCCTCCCCGTGGCCCTGGCCTAGTGACCAGCCCCAGCCGTGTGTGGGAGGCATCCCCCGTGACCGCTCCCGTGACCACGTGTGTCTCTCTCTGGCCAGATCATTGCCAACCACCACATGCAGTCCATCTCCTTCGCATCAGGCGGCGACACGGTAAGGCCAGCGGCTGGGGGGTGGACTTCTGGTCCCCTCTGTCCCCTGCGGAAGCCCCTGCCCCCACACTGCTACAGATGGAGGCTGGCATCCTGGCCAGGCTGGCCCGGGCGGGTCTAGCTGACCTCTTCCCCGCGCCCCGTCCTCTCCCTCCCCAGGACATGATGGATTATGTGGCCTATGTAGCCAAGGATCCCATCAACCAGAGAGGTGAGGTCCCGGCGGGGGTGGGCGGGGGCCCTGTGGCTGGTGGGCCAGCCAGCCCAGGCCATGCTAATGCTGCGTAACAAACAACCCTCTGCAGCCTGCCACATCCTGGAGTGCTGTGAGGGCCTCGCCCAGAGCATCATCAGCACCGTGGGCCAAGCCTTCGAGCTGCGCTTCAAACAGTACCTGCACAGCCCACCCCGGGTGGTCGTGCCCCCAGAAAGGTACCAGGCCCACCTCGTCCCCGTCTTCCCGGAGATAGCGTGTCACCTGACCGAGGCCAGATGCACAGACCCCACGCTCACCTCCTCCGTGCTGGGTGCAGGTCTCCGCTTTGTCCCGTCTTTCCTCTGTGCGCCCCTGTGGGCTTGCGGCTCAGCCGCCAGGTCCCCATTCCCTCGTCTGTAAACCCGGGATGAACACATCCTGCTCTGCCCTGGCCAAGGCGAGGAATCGGGGAGCCAGTCCACAGCTGCTGTCATCCCCAGGCCGGGCGGGGGTGGCCCACACTTCTGCAAAGGGCCGGTCAGTGTTTTCGGCTTTGCGGCCAGACCACCTGTCTCAGCCGTTGTGGCAAAAGCAGCCGTGGGGGGATGCTTAAAAGGATCAATGGGCCCCGGGCCAGGAAATCTGTATTTATAGACACTAAGTTTTGAATTTCATGTGACTTTCACATGTCACCAAATATTGTTCTTTGGATGTTCTCCGAATCATTTAAAAGTTCTGTGGCTTAAAAGAGAAGAAACCATTCTTAGCTCCTGGGCTGCACGCATACGGGCAGCCGGCCAGATTTGCGGAGCCCTGCTCTCAGCTACTTAATACACTAGGTAGAAATTTGCTAGACTAAATAATGAGTAAATGAATGTGTTAGAAATTCAAATGTGTGCATGATAAGGAAGAGGCAGAGTATGCAGGGGCAGACAGAGCCGCATGAATCTTCACCGAATCTTCACTGCACTGCCCCTCACCTGCGTGTCTGGGCCTCCTTCCCCACAGGTTCACGCTCCGTGTTTGCCTCCCGTGGCGGGGCATCTGCAGCCGCCTCTGCCTCGCAGGGGCTGTGGGGGGGGACCTCTGGTGCCGGCAGCTTCCCCTGTTTTGCTCTCAGGACCCACAGGTGCCACTGCAGGGCCAGAGGGCAAGGACGTTGCAACGCGGAGGGCACTTCCACCCTGGCCCCGCGGCTCTGGGTGCAAGCTGGGGGTAGTGTTCTCTCTCGGGGTTCCCCCCCCCTGCCGGTGGGGCCAGAGATGGGCGGAAGGGAGCAAGGACCTGCTGTAGTTTAGCAGAAGTGCTGGGAAGTGCGCGAGATCCTGTTTTGTAGAGGAGGAAAGAGCACCCAGCTCCCCCTACCCTCAGCCTGAGAGGAGGAAGGGTCAGAGTCCCCGAGGCCTGGCTCGTCCCACCCACTGGGCGAAGCTCAAGCCACAAGGCCTTGGCACCCTCTTGGGTGTCCCCCATTCTCTCTGCCCCTGAGTTCTGGGGCTCCTGCCTGTGCTCCCGCTTGCTGTCTGTCCCCAGGCTGACCAGGCCAGAGGAGTCGGCCTGGGGGGACGAGGAGGAAACGGAACACAATTACTACAACAGCATCCCAGGGAAGGAGCCGCCCCTGGGTGGGCTGGTGGACTCCAGGCTCACCCTAACTCAGCCCTGTGCCCTCGGGGCCCTCGGAGCCCTCGGCCAGGTCAGCCTCTGTGGACCTCGTGGGTGGGGGCGGGGGGGGCAGGGTTGTCCTCAGGCACTGACTCCTTGGGTCTTACCCTAGAGTTTCCTTCTGCTTCTCCTTGATCCCAGTGGAGGGCCCTGTGCTTCCTTTCCCCCTTCCTCCCTCCTTCCCCAGATGCACAGAAGGTCTGGCCCTCCTCCAGACTCAGACACTAAGTAGATCCTGTATCAGCAGTTTCATCAGGGCCATGAAATGGGAGTCCAGGGGCGGTAATGGGAATATACGATGGGGAGACTCACTCTGTGGTCAGGAGGACTTTCATGAAAAAGCAGTGTTTGGGCCGGGCCCTGACGGGTGAATAGGAGTTGCCTGGGAGAGCGGCACAGGGAGGGGCATCCAGGTGGAGGGAACAGCATGTGGCAGGTGGCAGGAAGGTGCAGACCCCTTCTGGAACCGAGAGGGCAGCTGAGGCTGCAGCAGAGGTGGGTGGAGGGATGGGGAGGGCAGTTTCAGAGCCAGGGGCTGGGGGAAGGGTTTAGAGGGTTTAGAGCTTCCCTTTGCCTCTGACTTAGGTCTCCAACCATGTAGGAGGGTGGGGCGCTGGGGGAGCCTGGGTGCTGGGCTGGGAAGGGGGACTAGCACATGGCCGGAGGACCCGTCACTCTCTTTTTCAGGGGGTATCTCCTGCTCAAAGGGACACGCGCAGCCTGCCGTGGGACCTGGGCCCCTCAGGTACTGGTAGGTGCCCCAGCCCCTCCCCACACTGTCTCTCTCTTTTCACTTTCACCTCTGAGACTATGCTCACTCCCCATGCTCTTAGGAGGTTTGACAACATCAGTTTCTTTTTATTCTGCACAGACTAGTTTCATTGCATTTTGGGGAGAGATACTGCATTTACATGGTTCAAATGCCAGAGCATAAAAAAGCATTCAGTGAGAAGTTGCTGGGCCCCCTGCCCACCTCCCCAGTCAGGCCACCAACTGTTAGTAGTTACTAGTTTCCATTATGTTCCCAGAATTCTCCACGTATATTCAAGCCCATTCAAGTGCGTGTATCATTTTCCGCAGTCCTACAGATGGTGGCGTGTTCTGAACAGGTCCACCTCGCTTTCTCCACATAGCCATCCGTCCTGGAGTTCTTTCTTTTTTTTTTTTTTTTAAATTTTATTTATTTGACAGAGAGAGATACAGCGAGAGAGGGAACACAAGCAGGGGGAGTGGGAGAGGGAGAAGCAGGCTTCCCGCCGAGCAGGGAGCCCGATGCGGGGCTCCATCCCAGGACCCTGGGATCATGACCTGAGCCGAAGGCAGACGCTTAATGACTGAGCCACCCAGGCACCCCCCTGGAGTTCTTTCCACGTCCATCCACGCAGATGTCCTCACCCTTGTCCCCACAGTGGACTCCTCCACCCTGTGGAGGGTCTTTTCTATTTTGCCTCTACTTGACTCATAGGCGTGTGGGTAGACCTCCAGGTGTTTGCTGTGATATCAGCATGAGGCGGGTTCAGGGGTCTCAGTAGAGTTTGTCCCCAGGGGAGTGGCTGCTTGTTCTATTTTGATGAAATCACGCAGTTGCCCTCCCATCAAGGTACCATGGGCTTTTGTTTTAACAAAATGATTGCGTTTTTAGCCCGTGAGCATCTTATCCCGTTACACGTAATTAGAAGTGACCTGCGCCCTGCTCCCTGTCCGGGAGCTCACCCATCCTGGCACATTTGTGTCTCCTTTCAGACGTGGGGAGAAGCGAAAAGATGATGGCCCCCGAGGCATGCTGGTCCTTGCTCACCGTGAGGTCCTTCTGAAGGGCTGCAAGCTCTCCCCCAGGCCCCGCAGTTTGCTCATTCCTGCCGCCCCTCTTGCCAGGCACGGAGGGTCTTTCAGCCCTGTGTCTGCCCTGCGGAGGCCGAGCTGGGGGACGGCCAGGAGCAGAGCCTGTTAGTCGAGCTACCAGAAGCTTCGAGGCTGTCCGCCCACCAGCCCCACTGCAGCTGCCTGTTCCCCCACGGCCTCCCTAACATCTGTGCTGGGTTTGGGGTTTTTTTTTTTTAGATCTTCCCAAATAATCTGGGCATTTTCGTGACTCCCAGCATGGTGCTTAAAGACCACTTTTGTCGTTGGGCACCCAGCAGGTGCCCAGCTAAGATCTGGCCCTGGTACCTGGGCTGACTGCCCCCTGTCACCCCGGACTCCCAGGGCTCCCCAGTATCTCCCAGCCCTGATCCTCTGCACAAGCTGCTGGTGCTTCTTGTTATGCCTTTCCCTGTTCTCTAGCCAAGAACTCCTACCAGTATGTTCATGCCCAGCTCCGATGTCCAGGAATTCTCTCTCAGTCTGGATTCCTACAACCTGGGCTTCTTCCCTCTTACCTGGCCCTGGCTATGAGAGGCTGGGAGAATTGGTGCCTCTGTCCAGGCAGACCAGGAAGCCTGGGCTCAGACCCCTCTGCCTGCAGCAGCCACCCAGGGCTGGCACATTGTCAGCACTCATATTGAATCATAATATTCTTTTTATAAAGATTTTATTTATTTATTTATTTGAGAGAGGGAACACTGAGCAGGGAGCCTGGTGTGGGGCTCGATCCCAGGACCCCGGGATCATGACCTGAGCTGAAGGCAGACGCTCACCGACAGAGCCACCAGGTGCCCCAAAACTAATTTTTTTAAAAGGTTTTATTTATTTATTTGACAGAGAGAGACACAGCGAGAAAGCGCACAAGCAGGGGGGAGGGGCAGTGGGAGAGGGAGAGGCAGGCTCCCCGCTGAGCAGGGAGCCCGATGCGGGGCTCGATCCCAAGACCCTGGGATCATGACCTGAGCCGAAGGCAGACGCTTAACGACTGAGCCACCCAGGCATCCCTGAATTGTAACTTTTGCCATATACTGTTCTAAGGTTTTAATCCTCAGCCCTACTTGTAAAGGAGCTACTCCTATCTCCCCACTTTGCCGAGGAAGAGACTGGGGCGCAGAGAGGTTAGCAGACTTGCTTGTGTCCACAGAGGGCAGGTGGAACTGGTATGTGAGTTCACATGTCCACAAGGGTAAAGATGTAGCTGGCATAACATGGATGTAATAGGGGCGCCTGGGTGGCTCAGTCGTTAAGCGTCTGCCTTCGGCTCAGGTCGTGATCCCGGGGTCCTGGGATTGAGCCCCGCATCGGGCTCCCTGCTCAGCGGGAAGCCTGCTTCTCCCTCTCCCACTCCCCCTGCTTGTGTTCCCTCTCTCGCTGTGTCTCTCTCTGTCAAATAAATAAATAAAATCTTTAAAAAAAACCCAAAAAAACAAAAAAACATGGATGTAATAAACTGTAGGGTCCTCGGGCTGGATATGGCCACGCAGTGTATTGAAATCATTATTTCTCTGCCAAGGATTAAAAACAGTGATGTTTAGAAATGAATAGACAGTTCTGAGAAAAATACACACGAATGCCTTCTGAATCTGGGAAGAGAAGCTCAGCCTTGCTCAAAATACGAGAAATGGAAATTAACATCCCCTAGATGCCATTTCTCGCCTCTCAGCCCAGCAAACCCCTGGCACCTGGTAGGACACCTTGGGCGAGGCCAGAGGACCGGTCAGGATCCAGCAGAATCCGAGTGGACCCAAGTGAAAAATTCCTCTGAGGGTAACTTCTGCTGTCTGTGTGAGCTTTGAACCATGGCGATGCTGCACACACTCACAATTAAGAAGGAAAGAAAGGAAATCCTAAAATAGAACAGGAACAGAATCAAGTGACCCATGTGTCATGTGGATAGGATAACATAATTACAGGGAGACCAGTTTCATCGTGATTATTTTTTGGATGTAGGCATTTAACATAAGTGTGGGGCTTTCTGCCACCATCCTGCCTGGTGGCAGTGGCCCCTCCCCGGGTGGTGGCCTTCTAGTGCCCCACAGCCCCTGGATGAACATTTACGGGGTCTGTCACTCCAGACGGTGCTGCGCAAGCAGGCCTACCGCTTCCTGGAGGGCGGCAGGTGTGGGTGGGGCTCCCGGTGGGGTTCCTCCTGCTCCCCTCTCCTGGGCTCCCCCAGCTGACCCCTCCACTCCTCCTGCGCTCCCCAGGCCCACCAGGGGACGGCTACGTGCAGGCCGACGCCAGGGGCCCCAGAGACTACGAGGACCACCTGTATGTCAACACACAGGGTCTGGATGCCCCAGAGGCCCTGCAGCCAGAGGACAGTCCCAAGAAGGATCTGTTTGACATGCGTATGTGGGGACAGGCCCCCTAGCAACCCATGGTCTGATGGGGGTGGCCCAGCCTTCTTCCCCTTGGGACTTTGCAAGTTGGTGAGGGTGGGGTGGGGGGACTCTCTCATCTGATAGGGGAAGCTCTGGGGGCCCCTCTCCCTGGGACTCTTCAGTTTCTTGGGGGTAACCCAGTTTCCTCTCTATAGGGGTCCCTAGTCTGAGGGGAGGCCTTGAACGAGTGGCTGGTATGAGGGGGGAGGCTCAGGCCCCTCTTCTCTATGAGACTCCTCAGTCTCTTGGGGGAGGCTTAGCTCCTTCCCTCTGGGTCTCCCCAGTCTGATGAGGGAATTTTATCTCCCTCCTCCGTAGTTTGAGGAAGTGGGCCCAAACCCCTTGCACTGGGAATCCTGGCCTGATGGGGGAGGCACCCTTAGGGGGACTGCTCCTTTGGGGGGACCCCAGTCTAATGAGGCAGGCCTAACCACATGTTGATAGAGTGAACCACTGATGGGGGAGCCCTGTCCTTCCTTCCCTCTGGGACACCCTGGCCTGAGGGAGGACTCGGTCTAATGGAGGAGGCTTGTGTCCAAACACCCTCCTTACAACACCAACACCACCCTCTTCCACCAGCACCACGGGGCTCTTGGCTCCATGCTGGCCCAGGCAGGGTCATTTCCCTTCCTCAGGACACCTCTCTAGTGGGAGATCCCCAAGAACCAACCAAGTCAGCTGGAAATTTCTTCCTTCACAAAGTCTGCCAAGTCCCTCCCCCACCATCTGATACGACACAAGCTAACGTCCATTGAGCACTCACTGTGCCCCAGTCAGTGGGCTAAAAGCGTGGCCCCTGCTGGCTCCTCACAACAGTCCTCAGATGGGAAAGGAGGTGCCCCAGTGTGTGAGCTTCTGAGGCCAGCTGTCCCCTTGGGGTGACCAGATGGCCCAGCAACCCCAGCAAGCCTTCCATTGAAAATTCTGGGTCTGCGTCTGATTTGGCCAGCCTGGGTCAGTGGGGGGGAGCGTGAGATGAAGATGTTGACTGGCCAGGCCTGGTCACGGGTCCTGCTAGCTGGAGGCTGGGTCAGCTACACCTGGACCACTGACGGAGTCAGGCAGGAGGGATTCCCGAGGAACAGAAAGGGGAAGGCGCGTGGGGGCACAGGACCTAGCTGTGCAGGGTTGGGGTCAGGGCTGGGGTTCTGATCTGTGCTGCCCCACGTCCAGTTTTGCAAGGAGGGCACAGGCTCAGAGAGGGCGAGCAGCCTGTCCATTGTCGCACTGGTGCTCTGCAGACCGCTAGGAGCTTGTCTAGGAGAGTGTGCAGGAGAAAGGCATGCGGGCAATCGAGATGCAGCGCTGTATGAGGGGCTGGCCGGTGTGATCGGACAGTCAATGAGCCAGGAGGCATATGCATTGGGAAGGAAGCCAAAGTGACAAGACAAGAAAAAGAAGGATGTGTACACACTGGGGAGAAAGAAGCACTTTATTTGCATATCCGTTATGGGCATATACATAAAAATCCAAGAGAATATCCCGCCTAACTCCTAGAACCCAACAGACGGTGAAGGCAGCACGCAGCGTGCACACAGAACACATGAACACACCCACTCAGCACACACGCAGTGCACGCTCAGCACTCAGCCAGTGACGTACGGTGGGCTCAGTGCAAGGTCTGATGCACCCTAGGCGCTCAGTTCCCCAGGGTGGGGCGACCACCTGGAGCTCTCCCGTCCCAGCCCAGACCCCTCCCTTTCCAGCAGGGGGCAGCTGTCCGCCCCTGCCTCCTGCACTTCGTCCTCGCCTGCAGGACCCTTCGAGGATGCTCTCAAGCTGCACGAGTGCTCTGCGGGGACGGGCACGGCGGCAGCGCCCCTTCCCTTGGAGGACCAGTGGCCCAGCCCCCCGACCCGCCGGGCCCCCATAGCCCCCACGGAGGAGCAGCTGCGGCAGGAGCCCTGGTACCACGGCCAGATGAGCCGAAGGGCGGCGGAGAAGCTGCTTCGAGCCGACGGGGACTTCCTGGTGCGCGACAGCGTCACCAACCCTGGGCAGTACGTCCTCACGGGCATGCACGCGGGGCAGCCCAAGCACCTGCTGCTCGTGGACCCCGAGGGCGTGGTAAGGTGGGGCACAGGGGCTGGAGGCGGGGCCGGAGTTGGGCGGGGCGGGGGCGGGT